TCGCGGCCAAGGCCGAAGCAAAGTCATGGTTTTCGTGAGTATGTATTATGTTTGTGTATATCTTAGACACATTCCGCTCTTAACAGATTTATGGTAAGCGATTAGCGTTTTAAATGACATGTAAAATACACGCGCATCTTTTTTTCTTCTAACCTTGACAGACTAATTTAATTAGAAAATCGTAATGGTTTCATGTCTCGTAGGATGGATGGTCTGTATTGAGCAGCAACAGTTGGACCAAACGAAAATCTAAAACCGAATAAATTTAAATTGGCAATAACATTCACGTTATCATCAACTTTACTTCGTTAAAACAAAATAAATATTTTTGTGCTATTTTGGTTAAACGTTAACTATTGTCTTTACCATAATTTAATACACCACTGTTGGCTAGTGGCAAAACGTATCATCTTTTTAGGAAATGTTAAATATATGCAAATCGCTACTAGAATTTAAAAAAAATATTCATAGGGTAAGTTATACATACACACATACACATACTATAAAAAGGTAAAAATAACTGCACATTAACAAAACAAAATAAAATCAACACATTGATTAAAACTACTTTTACGGATTTTAATCAATGTATAGTGTTCGCGTAAATATAAGAAATCATTAAAATAAACACATTTTTTTCGTGGCATATTTTACTATGCCTAGCAACACTTTCGTCATATTGGCGTCTGTCAAATTTAAGATTTATTATTTTGTTTTTATGAATGTTTTTTACAAAAATATAAGATGCTAGGTAGTAATTACCCGTGAAATAAGATTTTTAGATTTTTTTCATGATTATGTGATGAGTTGTGACACCCTTTCAAAGCACAGTAAGTTGCTTTTTTGCAAAATTGCGCGAGCTGTTGGCACGACTACGTGGACTCGAGTACTGACACTACGTGGACTCGAGTACTGACACTACGTGGACTCGAGTACTGACACTACGTGGACTCGAGTACTGACACTACGTGGACTCGAGTACTGACACTACGCGGACTCGAGTACTGACACTACGTGGACTCGAGTACTGACACTACGTGGACTCGAGTACTGACACTACGTGGACTCGAGTACTGACACTACGTGGACTCGAGTACTGACACTACGTGGACTCGAGTACCGACACTACGTGGACTCGAGTACTGACACTACGTGGACTCGAGTACTGACACTACGTGGACTCGAGTACTGACACTACGTGGACTCGAGTACTGACACTACGCGGACTCGAGTACTGACACTACGTGGACTCGAGTACTGACACTACGTGGACTCGAGGCTTCACTTTGCGTGGAAGCTGCTCATAGAATTATTCTATGGCTTAATGCTGCCATAGAATTATTAGGCTTAGATATGCTGAAATTCGTATGGTGAGTGTCGATAACCGGAGACCCTTTTTACTGAAACGAAGTATATGCTTTAATCCTCAGGGGTGACAACGCGTCTGCATTTTGATTCTTAACTGAGGATAAATGTAGATGTATATGTCAGGTGGATTGTGTGCTCGATTTTCACACTATATTATTTTTAAAAAAACGTAAATTCAATTACTAAACTAGGTACAAAGTAACGTATTATAAAAAATTATTTTTATTAATTAGATTTATTAGTACATGTGTGTTGCGATTTAACAAATAGGGTCCTAGCTTAGCGAATAATATTATTCAGTGAGCAAACGCTGATTTTCAGCTATTACCCTCAGTATGACAAGACAAAAATGAGCACAATAGAATAATCAGTGTAAATATGTATGAATGATGTGTCAATTCAGTCCTATGACTTGTATCTGAAAGGATATGTAAAATCAACCAACACGCACTGAAACCATTAAACTAAATTGTACTAGCGTACAACATAGTATCTCGATGACTGAAATAGCGCGGTGCATTAATTGCCCCATAAACCTCAAAATCTCAGATATCTCATATCTGATCTCAGATATGAGAAGATAAAAAGCCCAAAAGTGGGTAGTTATGGATTGTAATTTTTATTTGAATTATAATTTAAATTTTTCTTATCTTATGCTCTATTGTTTACGCACAGAGAAGCTTTCGAAACAGAAGCACCAAAAATTATCTTATAATATTTGAGCAGTTACGAAACAAACCTTTATCTTGCGACGCTAGATAAAATTACTTACTGGAGTGAAAACAACGTAAGTATCCATCGCCAATGTCTTGGAAACTGTAAATGTCTTTATTCCGTATTTAAGATATTTATTACGTATTCAGTTAAATTCAGCTTTGTACTTACTATTCACTTTTTTATTATATAATGTAAACCATGATAAACATTAAAATATGATATATCTTAAGGAATTTTCTGCGATATCGCCAAAATAAATCGCAATTCACAAGTTGTAGCTTGTGAATTGTTGTTATTATGAGATTAAATCAAAGCAACTGCGAACATAAATTTTTATTGGACACGTATTTTCCATTTGGCGTCCACCTTTATATCGGAAATTCAATAATGTAATGTTTCATTTTATTTATTTTTCAATAATATATTTTCTCAACACATTTTCTGGCCGATTTTTTAAGGATTATTTCATTAATGTATTATCAAATTTCTAAATCAAATATTAATTTATCCATAACGACATAATATGGTAGATTTTAATATATTAAACATAACTGTTACATAAAAATCTTGAGTATCTGATTGCAGTGTTGGATAATTACACCGTGGTATAAAGTCAGGTAGACAAAGAGAAAATCTATTTGTAGTTCCTCTATTATATTTTTATTTTTTCAACTAACAAAAAAATGTGTGTTTACTCTAACAGTGTATCAATGAAACATGGAACTAAAATTTCACTGCATGAGCAAGGGGAAAGGGAAATTTCAAACTGTAACCATACTTAGTTTTAGTCGTCGGGTAGTTTTTTTTTTGACTTAAGAGAACTGAAAGTATATATATATCAACTGACACATTGTTACGCAAAAAGTAGCAATTCACAAATAAAAGTATTATAAACTGAGAATTTTTTATAGGATGAGGGTAACAAACGAGCACACAGTCCACCACAGTTACAGTGATGGTAAGTGGATGCTGTGGCCCATAGACATCTACATTTGTGATGCGTTGTTCTTGAGAGATCTTTCGCTAAAAAACAACGTGAGCGTATCCTCGGACCACAAATTAATATATATACATATATATATATATATATATATATATATATATATATATATATATATATATATATATTAGAAAACTCCGTTTAGCTCACGGGGCCATAATTGCTTAACAGTGGTGAAAAAACAATTTCCCTGATTTCATCAGTTCAAAAGAATGGTCACCCCACTCTTGCTCGCGCGAGATTCGGGGTTTGTTTCACTCTGACGTTCGACGTTTAGTTTTTCTAGATTACGCGAATTTGTCAGTATCAAAGTTAATCCAATGTAACATTTATATTAATATCTTATTTGAAGATACTAAGCGGTATCATAATGAAAGAAACAACACAGTTGCGAAGTGGTTTTCAACGGGAACCGCAACATCCAATGGATTACATTCATCGTATATTTTACAAGCAAGAACACAGACATCGTTAATATTACTATTTCTGTGATTTATTTACAAAATGGTTTGATAAACGCACCTACAATAGACTAGTTTTATATTACACCGTATGGGTGTTATGACGTAGTACTGTGTAAGCATGTATTCAAATATGCACTTTATTTGAAATTAATAGGCGGTATAAACATTCGGCATAGTATACTAAAAAAGTTTTTGAATTTTTTGAACTTAGTGCTAACACCGTAAAATAGTTATAAGCTGCCTTTTCTTTAGTAAATTAGGAATTTAAATTTGGAAATTTAAATTAGGAAAAAAATTCAACCAATAAATTACGTAACATGTAAAAAGCTTATTTACTTAAAATTACAACGAATACCTACGAATTTTACGTTCTTATTTTTACACAAGCAAATTAGATGTAATAACACCCTAAATGTCAATTTATAAAACTTTTAGCATGGTTTCACAATTTTAAGAAATTTGATATCCCGCGTTTTTTCAATTTTACTCAAAATAATTATTTGTCAAAAAGTCGCCTGTTTTACCGACTTCCAAGGGGGGGGGGGGGTATTCAATTTGACTGTGTTTTTTTTTATGTGTTACACGTAACTTTTCTCCGGTTGAACTGATTGTGATGATTCTTTTTTTATCTAAAAGCCGGTGCTTCTCGTGTGGTGCCATATAAATTAAATCAAGATCTGATCATTAGTTTTTGTGTTATCTCTAATAATGAGTATTTACTTGGTTTCGAATACATTGATGATGTTCTAATTCTTATTATATTGAATTTGGTTGTTGAATAAAGTGTATCTTCATTATTTTTAAGTTATTTAAATTGACTTGCAAATCCAGTAAAACTATTTGTTAATAAAAACTACTTTTTACCTAGTTATAAGTTAGTTATACGTTTAACTAACAAAATATGAGTCTTGGTTGCTTAAATAAATGAATTATTGATTGATTGATCCCCTCATTTCTGTGAGGGTTTTAGGGCAAGGAAATGTCCACTGCAAGTTCCAATGCATGTTTGCAATTTTCACATTTTTTCTGAATATATTTTTTCCTGTTTCCAGACATGCAGATTACCTCATGATGTTTTCCTTACCGCCGAGCATGTAGTAAGTGAGCACTTAAAATTACAATTAACAATTCCAAGTTACTTGGATCGAAGGTCACAATAAGTTATATATCCCCGGAGGGTGATGTTGATGATGATCACTTGTGATCTTCTTTTTATGGAATAGGCTGTAGCGGTCATTTCCAATTCAATGGAGCTTTTCTTTTTTAATATTACAAAAAATATTTCTATGTATGGCTACATATTCGCCTAGACTACGTTATCGTCTGTTTTAATCGTCTTGTAATATTTGACTCCGTAAATATATTTAAACATTTGGTTACAAAATATTGTTTTGTTCATCATATTTTAATGACATGCAATTCTATGTATAATATTACATAAACATCCTTACCTGTTGCAAGCTGAGACTTTTGACCATCACCTGGCCGGAATGGATATGTCTACCGAAGCCAACGGGTCCAAAGCCGTAGCAGAGCAACGAAAGCAGCAGTACCAGTGTCTGCACGGTGCTCACCCACCATGTAAAATACGGTCGGTAATCTGCCAGCTCATCCAACTGCTGTGCCACTTCCTCTTGACGGGTTATCGATTTACGCAGTGACCGGCTGGAAATAACGTGTTTTTTATAAGTTATTTTGAAAAACTCTAAGACATTCATACGGGGTAGAATCATCCTGCAGATTTTTAAGATTGTAGCAAGAATGGATCGCCTTGCCCGTGGCAGAATCACACTCTCACAGAATAACAGCGTAAATAGCAGATTAGTACTGGTGTGCCTCGTATGGTGAGTATAGAGAACCTTTAACTGTTAGAGAGGCATTCAATCTTTAGTCCTCAGAGGTGACGACTCATCTTCATTTTTAATCGAGGATATATGTATTGTAGAAGTCTATGGATTACAGCACCCACTTACCATTAGGTTGACAGTGTGCTCGCTTGCCACCCTTAGGTATTCTAAAAAAGAGTTTAAGGATACCAAAAACAACAAATTATACTCCTAATTAAAGAAGACTGACGGATAAACGGCTATACTCTAAGCGAAGAGACTAGCGATGCATAACAGTGATGGAGGACAGCATTACTAGAGCGAGGGTAAAGATCTGTGCTTGCTAAAGCGCTACACTCTTTATTGAGGTCTGAATGGTTTTGCAGGAAGGGGATTAAAACGATTTTGTTCAAATATTGACAAGAAAACTTTGTTTATCTTTAAAGATGGTAGAAACTGGCTGGCTCAGCAGATGTGTTTCTGCCCTTTCCGATAGAGAGTTTTACTACTTTGTTCTCGAGTACAAAGACACCTAATGGGTGAAAGTTTTGTGATTTTTTTTGGCGTTTTACCAACAAACATTGCATAAGCATGTTTTGAACGTGGTAGAACTGATGCAGCTATGATCGGGTCGGCTCAACCGGGGTTGGACAACGCTCTAACAGATTACTGGCTCAAAATAGCAGCTCAATGCTGCTGTGTTTCGTATAGTGAGTGTAGAGAGCCGGAGACCCGGAGATTTTACTGGAAACAAGGCACTCCACCTTAGTCCTCAGGAGTGGCATCGCATTTAGATTTTAATTCTTAATCGTGGATAGATGTAATAGTGGATGCCACAGCATCCACTTACTACTTGTTTGTACAAAATATTTGTTTATTTCTACATTGTAGCATTCTTTTTGTGTACATAATTTTTATAAATAAATAATAAATACACTTTGTATGATGAATTTACGGTTGAACAGAGAAATTCTCAATGCTTTCTTTTAAATGTGATTTATTCATAAAATTAAAATAACAAGCTGACTAAAACTACGTGATGTACTATACATGGTAGATCCATGGTGCAGCTATATTATGGTTGTAGCACGAATGGGTTGGCTCGACCGGGAGAGGACCACGCTCTCACAGAATATCAGCTTTTTACTGTAAACGAGGCATTTCATCGTAGTTGTCAGGGGTGAAGGGGCATTATAGAATTTATATTGTATAACTATTTGTTGTATTAGTGTAATTAATTACATATAGCTTATGAATCGCAGCGTATCTTGGTACAATAGTCTTGATAAAACAAATTATATTTTTTAAGCATGACCTCAAACGGTCACGGTCGGTCACTGAAGTACCAACGAATATACCCGAGATAACTAGCTTCCGTCCGCGCGTAGAAAAAGAAACAAATTCATGTTCATTTTCCTATAGTAACCTTAATTTTCCCATATCAATCGGAAAGATGGATAAGGAAACGGTTAGATGGATAAGGATATTATCCATATCCATCTAACCGTTTACGCATGATTGAGTATCAAATATCTAATCATCTTTACAAACTTTGACACATATTATAATAGGATATTTTAGTACGGAAACTTAGCTGTGTATCACAAAGCCTCCTTGTCAGAATTTCCGAACTTAAAGCTATTCAAAATAATTAATATAACGAAAGAGTAGACGAAAAAACTGCAAAAAGAAAATGTTAATGATTACATTTTAATGTCACATTTTAATGTTTTATGTTTTTGTAAAGTTACAAACTGCAACACGGTGCAAACATTAAACAAAACATATTCAGAAGGTTTTTAAAATATACAATTATACTAGTTTCACTAACAAAGACGTTGGTAAAAACAACAAAATTAAAAAGACACGATGAAATGCCTTGATAACATAATTATGCAATTTATACGTGGTAGAGCAACGCTGCAGTTATATTTGAAGCATAGTAGTAGCACGAATGGGTCGGTTTGACCGGGGAAGGACCACGCTCTCACAGAATACCAGCGTGAAATATTAGCTTAACTCTGTTGTTTTTCGTATGGTGAGTGTAGAGAACCGGAGACCCCTTTTTCTGGAAACGAGGCATTCCATCTTAGTCCTCACGGGTGACAACGCATCTGCATTTTGATCAAGGATAGATGTAGATGTCTATGGGCCGCAGCAACCACTTAACATCAGGTGGACTGTGTGTTCGTTTGTCACCCTATTCTATACAAAAATATTCTGAACGACTCCGTCGATTTCGAGTTTAACTTACTATTTTCAATTTTTTTAAATTACCTCTGTACTAGTAATTTTTCCTGTAATGTGAAGGCATTTAACATAATATATAAATAGCAAACAGACAAACTCTCACACCTTAAAAAATAATTACTAACTTAAATAATTACGCCAACTATTTATTTTAAAAATCATTATGACAAAAAAATTACAAATATTTTGTTCCTGAGTGTAAATGAACCAGCGGCACAATTGTTTAAAAAAATGTCAAATATTTCATAACTGAATCATCATTTTAGCAACTTTATATAATTTAAATTTGTTTGACAGAGTCGCTTCCATTTATTAGTAAGCTTTGAATTACATCACTTTCAAAGATTTTCGTCGCACGACCTTGAAAAAATTTAAATTACCTTCTGCTCTTTTGTCCTTTACCTTGGGGCTTCGGATGCTTAAATACAAAAATGTGTTTTAATTTTTTAGCAGTCTATTTGCCAGTTAATCTTTTATAAACGCGTAATTTAAGCGGAACTGGACAACAAAGGTTAGAAATGGTATCTAGTACCGTCATAAATATTGTAGGATTTTACTCGCTAAGTAGGGTGCTACAACATCCAAACAACAGATTTTTTTTATATAATAAGGGTGACAAACGAGCACACAGTCCACCTGGTGGTAAATGGATTATGTGACCCATAGACATCTACATTTACCCTCGATTAAAAATTGAAACGCATATGCGTTGTCATTCTTGAGGACTACGATGGAATGCCTCGTTTCCAGTAAAATTGGGTCTCCGCATCTCTACACTCACCATACGAAACACAGCAGTATTAAGCTGATATTTTACGCTGGTATTCTGTGAGAGCGTGGTCCTTCCCCGGTCGAGCCGACCCATTCGCGCTACAGCTATAATATACCTGCAGTGTGGCTCTACCAAATATAAAATGGTATTTAACAGAATAGAATGGTATGTAATTTTCTTATTCAGTGAACATTATCTTATGACAACTATTATTTTTAAGACAATATTTTATTCAATACTGTTTCAGAATTCTGGAAAGTCATCGTTCATTTTCATTTAGTAATTTGGGTTTTGCTGCGGGATGATATTTGGTAGTGGATACGTTTCCGCCACCACTACATGGCGACAGTGAGGTATCATCAGCAAATCATACTGGACTTCTGCAATTGAAAGGGAGAATCTGAAAGGTTTGCATGATAAAGTTGTATAAATATAATAAATGAGGACTTAAAGCATAAAATTGCTGTTTTGAAATGAAAAAAAAACACCTCATTTAAAACAAGTGGTAAAATTAAAAAAATTCTACAACCGACTTCAATACGACTGAATCAATGTATTTGAAGCTAATTAAATAGACATTAAAGATAACTCAAAAACTCTTCATCAGATCTTGATTAAATTTATATTGGACCACAAAAGAAGCACCAGCTTTCATATAAAATAGGAATCATGAAAATCGGTTCACCCAGAAAAAGTTATGAAAAAACACACATTAAATAAAACATACAGTTCAATTTGAATACCTCCACTTTTTCTAGTCGGTAAAAATATTTTGTTTAATCGAAGTATTCATCCTCATTATTTAAAATTTTAGCCATCTCGAAGGAAAACTTTTTATGCGTTTACGATCGAGCTTTATGGTCTGGTCACATTTTATGGACAAAGTCTATGAAGGCAAAACGTGGTCTTCTTCCTAAGAAGAATGTCCGGATTACGGAAAAACTAGTAATCGATTGGGGCTAGATCTGACATGTCTGATCTGTCTACAAAGGATGACGTATAGTTTTTAACTGCTGGTCTTGTAGTACTAAAATAGTTTATCTGGAGTTTATGGCGTTGCATTATCACGGAGCAATGATGGCGAAGATCGGTTGACAAATTAGGGTTTTTCTCTGAAAGTTTCTCCCATCATTGTTTGAATAACATATATGAATGGGGGTAAATAAATAAAATATAGTACGAAAAAGTGAGGGTAGAACTATAATCTCCCACTCGTTGTAGCAGCAAGCGATTAAGAGAGATCCACAGAGTACTTTTTGGAGAGATCAGCCGGTAATAGTACGAGTCTCACTGTCGTTACTTTGCCCATTGAGGTATTCTACTAGTGTAGGTAAGGCAGATCGTGATGCTAAGAGGCTGCTCTGTGTTATATTGAGATGGGTAGTGTTGCCTTTGGTATCGAAATTTTGGTGTTATCATGTAATTGGGCCCTTCACGTTACATCAATGTTTGGATCGTGACCGGAACGTGTTACAGTTTCTCGAACTGTGTTGCTGCTTTATACCGAATGTATGGTGCAGTGCGCTGTTTCGTTGCTTCAACACGGTTTCTGATAGTAAGAGGGTGTGATACCGAGTAGTGTTCTTTTGTTTATATAATTTTGAGGATAATTTCAAACAATACAATATTTATTACCAATATAAAAAAGCGGTCTAGGTGCGACCCGAAAGGTCCACACGACTAACTTCCCAGTGGAAAGAATAAAAAAATATCATATGTTTTAATATTTTATACAATTTTTCATTCGGCACAAAAACGACTTGACCGATTTTGCTCAAAATTTAATGAGGTCTAAGTTACATAATTAAGCGTTAAAT